CCTTGTTCCGGAACCTTTTGACGAAGGTGTCGACTAACTCCCCGTCTTTTTGTTTCTCGTCGAGCAACGATCCGATAGAGATCTCGGTGTCGTCGTCGAAGAAATTTGCAAGGAACTTCGTCTCCATGTCATCCCAGCTGTTCACGCTTCCTGGCTTGAGGCGACGATACCAATCGAAGGCAGCTCCGCGAAGAGTGCCGACGAATGACCGCACCATCAGAGGCTCGTTCCCAGAGATAGCACCCAGGTGCGATTTGAAATAAATCAAATGCTGGGTGGGGGAACCCCTTCCATCGAACGGCGTGAAGTTGATTAGACTAAACTTCGCCGGATAGGGGATTGATTCCCATTCCCTCGGGTATGGACAAGGAATGCCCGTTTTCTTTACCTCTTGAGCAGACAGCAACGTATTGATTTTACTCTCGAGGCTTTTGATCTTCAAGTCTTCACTTGTATCCCCGTTGGCATCCTCACTACCACCCCCTGCATTGATGGGAGGGTTATTGGCATTGTGAGCTTCATCCCCATCCGCGTGCTCCTTTTCCTGAGCAACCTGGTTACGGTGGCTTGGTTCACCTTGTTGGTTCCTGAATGCTTGGATTTGCTGTTCATGCATCTCTCTCATCTGCTGCATGGCCGTCTCCATCTCGAATTTAAAACTTTCTTTCTGCTTAGCCAAAGCGTCTTCAAGCATTTTGGCCATTTCTTCCGCGCCTATCATGAATGACTCGCGGGGTTGTCCTTCGCTGGACACTGTATTGTCCGATGCGACAGCAGAGCACGGTCGACCGCGAAGCTGACAGAAGCCCAGTTAGGGTTTCTGTCGGCTTCAAATCCCAACCACCCTTGACGATTTCTGCACTAACTTAAAATTAACATTTAATCCAGGTCATAGAACAGGAAACTACCAATTTTAAACATTTAAAATCTATCATTTAAAATCCCAAGCATATAACCATGATTTAGATGTCTTTAAAACAGTATAAACATGATTAAATTTGTTAAAAACATTTTCAGATCTGGATCTCAAAAGTTGAAGCTTTAAAAATCCGAAATATTTGATCTTCACATATTATGCCATAGTGATCTACTATATTTACATGAAGTACGATTTTTGGCCCAATAAAAACATGATTAAAAACCCAAATTTTGCATGAAAATGAAAAGAGGTGAAGTTGGGCGAGATGTTACTCGCCTCTGATGAAAGCAACGCCCTAGATCTGAAGGAAGATGGTCCCTCTCGCTGAATCCACCCAAAATCCGCCGAAAAACCCTTCAAAGCTCCTCCCAAATCACCAAAAAGAGAGAACTAGGGTTTGAGGGGAGAGAGGGGGGCTAGGGTTTTGATTTCAGATGAAAAAGAGTCTCTCTTGGGTTCATTAGTATATATACTAATCCCCAAACCCGACCCGAAACCCGATAAGACCCAAAACCCAGGAAACTCTCTGCCTGCTGGGCGGTCGACCGCCGAGCCCAGTGCGGTCGACCGCACAGCAGGAAAGAAATTTCCTGAGTGCGAGACTGATCAGCGGTCGACCGGCATGACTCCTGCGGTCGACCGCTCAGATCAGAAATTCCCAAATTAGATGATTATGAACCTGCTACTCACACCACTCCAAATCTCTCCCATATGCACACTTATTTAGTTCCCAAAACACTGATATTCGCATTCTATATATATTATATATATATATATGGTTAATATTATTTCTTGCTAGTAATTCAATATACTCATTATAAAATTTACGGGGTTCTACAATTTCTCCTCGGGAGTAGGGAACGAAGACATAGGACGGAAGGTCTGAACTCCATGATCATTTGCTTGTGTTTGAGTTTGTCATTGGTGCATTTTCTTTTGTGTTTATCTTATATCACCATTGTCTATTACTCTTTGTGTATATTGTCATATCACATTTGTAGTTTGTTTATTTTACCATTTGTTTATATTGATTATCCTTGCATATAATTGTTGCATATCTTATTTGCTAGGATAATTTGTTAATTAGTTTTAATTGGTATTAAATCGAATTATATTAGCATAGACCCTATTCACCCCCCCCCCCCCCCTCTAGGGTTCTTTCCTAGTGACATTAGGGCAACAATTGGTATCAGAACTTGGTGCTCTTGATTAGAGGCTTAATCGCCTAGAGTCAAAGGTCCTTGTTCTCATATTTGTGCTAATCTAATTTTGAGTTTTATTCATGGGGCCAGGAATGAACAACTAACAAGTTTGCAGCGGAAGCTAATAGAATGTAGTATATTCTTAAGAATTATTAATTTTTACTTAATTTGTTTATAATGATAGGATCTCATTATTAACTAACTACAAAGTATAATACATTATTTTTTATTGGGCATTCAAGGCAGACAGAGCACTCAGGTGAGTCTTCATCGCAATAAATATTATACAATTTAAGTACAAAGAAAAAAAAGAGTTGATCAATGGTGTAGTTGGTGAGAAACTCTAGCAGCTTCATTTAGGTATGTGGATATATTATAGATGGAGATGGAGAAGGGTGGTTATGAAAACAGTGGGTGTGTGTGGGTAATTAATATGGTTTTTGTTTGTATGATTTTCTTCGTTCATTTTCAATATATTTGCGATCTTGTGAATATATATAGCTATAATATTGCTACTCTCTTTTGGTTTTTCTGAAAGAGTTTGAGTGTAAAGAAAAAATTTTAAATTATCTAATCCGGTTAAAGTAGGATCAGATAAGTTAACCCCATATGTGAAATTTATTTTAACCAACACCCATATGTAAGTATTACAATTGGCATTGAGCTCTAAGATACGTGTGAGATTCTCTTTAACTTTTATACAAATAGCATCTATTTATATAATAATAGTATAATTAAACTTTACGATCTGAAAAACAGATCAAACAAATAATATAATTATTTGCTTTAAAACAATCTAATATAATCTAATAGGGAAAAATAGATGAAAGTAATGTGAAAATTGTTCTAATTTTATAATTCATAATTTTTAACAATCTAATCTAATCTAATAAGAAGAAAATAATAAAGACACATACATGTTGAAGGAGATGAAAGTGCTGCGAAAATTATCGTAATTTCTTGATCTAAAAAAAGAACAAACATACAATATAATTAATTATTTTAAATTAATCTAATCTAATCTAAAAAGAAGAAAACAGATATGAAAAAGTGTTGTGAAAATTGTTGCTATTTCTTAATATGAAAAAATATTAAATATAAAATATAATTAATTACTTTAAGTTAATTTACTCTAATCTAATAAGAAGAAAATAATAAAGACACATACCTATAAAAGCAGATGAAAGTGCTATAAAAATTGTTATAATATTTTAGCTTATATATATATATATATATATTAGTATGTAATATTACATGTGAGAGGATAATAATTATAAATGGAGTTCTATTTAAATAATAATAGTATAATTAAACTTTGAAACTAATTATGCACTACCGTGAACTACTTGAATTTTAGTCGGTGAGAGATCACCACGTTGTGTCCTCAGATCACAGCCGTTTGTTTTAATTTTCGTTTTTTATTTTTGAGAATGATTTTGTCTCTTTAATTTGTTTGGTGAATTTTGCAGATATCCTGTCCACATTATATACATTTGTAGGTCTGCACTGCTACTGAGTTCGATCTTTAGAGTAGACATTATTTTGCCTCGTTAAATTGTTTGGTTTATCCATATACGCCCATCATCTTGTAAGCATTTATGAATTTGGCATTTAATAATTTCATTCAGATTTACATTTCAATTTAAACTATATCATTATCTTCATACTATGTATATCCAATAAGAATTCATCAATTTATCAACTTACTCTTACTTATGAATTAGTATTTGAATTTCAATGGTATTTTTATCTGCCGAAAGATATTCTCAAAATCGTACTTTTAAAAGGAGTATGATGATAAACTAGATAATGAGGGTGTAAAATTGTAAAATAAATAATTATTATGTCAATGAGAGAAGGGGTCATGCCAATGAAAACCAGCCTTAACCCTTGTCAATTGTGCTAAAAGGGTGTTTAACATGCACTCTGAATTGACTTTTATAACCAATGTCCCTAACAATACTTTTCAAGAGATCCCAAGACAATGTTTCTTTATTAACATATACTATAGTTCTTTTCTCCTCACAATATGTTACTCTTGGATTTTGTACAAAACTACGCCCATGATGAATTGTTATCTTAATATTCTGCTTCTTAGCCATGTCCCTATATCGCACCAAATTCATAAAAAAAAAATCATAACCCACAGCCACCAATGCACTTTGTGCGTAAGAATTTGTGGGGAAAAAAAAAACTTCATCAAACACCAAAATCTAGTCACTTGTATCAATAACAAATATCACAAAACACGAAAATCAAGCTTATAGTATTCAATTTAACCCAAAATCAAGTTTATAGCATTCACTTGTACCAATAACAATATCACAAATAACAAATAGCACAAAGCACGAAAATCAAGTTTATAGTATTCAATTTAACCTATGAGCACATCATGCAAAAAAAACACCAATTTACAAACTCGAATTTAACACCCAATAGCTCAAAATGACCATCAAATTACTCCTATTCAATGGAAAATCATAAATAAACAAGGAACAATGAAAATGCACATAATTTTTTTTTACCTTTGCATAAGAGGGGAAAACAATACCTAACTTAGGTAACTGCCGAACCCAAATCCACGTCACCTTGCAAAAAATACAGCTCCTTCAACTTGTAGATCGCTAATTTGAGTTTTATTTCCAAATTTGAGATCTAATTTTACCGTAAGACGGTTGTAATTAGGGGAAACCTGGTGAACCTTCTTTTTACGGTTGGGGTCGTTTTATTAGGGGGAGGGTTGGTAAAATTTATTGAGGGGGCGTTAATGCCATGTAATGCCTTAAATTAACGCCGTCAGTCATTTTTTAATGGCTGATACATTAGGGTATTTTCGTGCGAATTTACCAAAGCTTAGAGTATTTAAGCGTAATTTACCCTTCTCTTTTTGACGTCGTCCTTCCCAAAGCATCCGCTTCAGTTTCGGATCCTTCCAAAAAATTTCGAACCCTTTCTGTTTTCAATCATTATCAACTTACCTCCACTTGTTTGGCACACAAATCCGAAAAAAAAAATTGGTGAGTTCTGGAGATATTATTTCTGAGCCGATTTCTTCTTCAAAACCCAGGGATATCCTCAAAACCCATAGCTCTCCTTTTCTGGGACAATTGAAGAACCTCAAAACCCATAGCTCTCCTTTTCTGGGACAATTGAAGAACTGGGTATTGGTCAAATGTTCGTTTTTGTTTATTTTTTTCCAATTATTATCATGAAATTATTCGATTTCTTCTGTGGGGTTGGGTTGTATATTCCATTTAATGGTTTGTGATGCTTGCAGTATGTGCGAGTGTCGATCGAAATTGGAAAATAATATGCCTCTGTGAGCTTAATCTGGTAAAGGATTTATGTAACAAGTTTTATTGAATAACCCAGATTAATCCGGTAAAGGATTTATGTAGCAAGTTTTATTGAATAACCCAATTTCAAACTTCAAATGTTAAAATTTTAGATTGCTATGACTAGGCTTTAAGGGTTAACCCCCATAAATTGTTGTTCCTTTTTATCAAATTCTTACAACAATAAACATATACATTAGTATTGAGAGTGGAGGGTGTTTCTTCTTGTATAGAATTGAATGAGTTTGTTTTTGTGTGCCTTCCTTTTTTTAATTAGAGTGGATCCACGGAAAATGAATTAGTTTGGATTTATCCGGCTTCTTTGTTTAGGTAGAGATATATACTCCCCAACTATGAATTTGTCCTTCTTGTTCTTAGTTTTACCTTTGTTGTTCTTAATTGTACAACCCATTAGCTCCTAGCTTTGTGAGGAATTTCGATGTGTAAAGCTTTAATTTCTCCAATTTCTTCTGTCTTTTTTCCCCCTTATACTCAATGTAGCTGCATATCAGTATCCATTTGATCTGTACCAGGTGTCTGTTTTAGGTTTTGTTTCAACTTATATATTTGATAATTTCTTATCGGTCCTATTAATCTTGGTTTCAATTTGTTGGCTAATATGTATCATTTGATAGTTTATGATTTATAGGTATGATTGCGGTTTCATAGTTTGGTTGGCACTTATATGTGGTTTGGTGTAGCTCACATGGATAACTTTCTAACACTACGATGATTGTGGATTATTGTATCTTGTTTTTTCTTTTTCTTTACCGAAAGTCGTGGTTTATTTAGTGGTGGATTGAAATACATAGTTGTTCATGTTCATGATGGCCTTGGGTATGAACTGGCTGCAGATTATGATTTTTTGAGAAATGAGTTGTTTGTTGGTAATTTTTCTGAATATAGGATTAATTTATGGAATGACTTCAGTGGGAGAGTACCTTTCTTTATGGGACAACAAAGCCATTCTAGGTAGTGTCTTTAGTTTGCATTGCAAAGACAACATTTTAGATTGTTTAGTTCCAGAAGTGTTACACCTCAGTATCATTTGCTATCAATTCACAATTCATATGATTTGCTATCAATTCATAACTACTTTATCCTATTAGTATGTACTAGATTCATGCTGGTTGGTCTCATACATGTCTAATGCATTTTGGAAGTATTTGTTTCTCACAATGGAATCGAGATGATGCATTACAAGCATCTGTTTTGTCTAAATTTAACAAATTTGCCACCTTCCAATACCACTTGTCGCGATTTGGAATTATTGAATGGTTTTCTATAAGATTACCACGACCCATATTTTGGTCTAATCGAATGGCGATAAAATCCTGGCTTATAAGACTGTGATTTTCCTTGATGAGTAGGATGTTTGGAGGCATCGAAGGGTGGCAGATGTTTAGACTAGAGTATTGTAGATGAGATGAGGAGAGAGAGCAGAGAAAAATGACCCAGTCTTTGTGTCATTTCTTTTGCAGTATGAACAGTGTATGATCATATTATGGAGTTCTGCAGTGGTTCCTAAGAGTATGAATGTAGATATCACAATCCTTGTGTTTGTTTCTTTGATGGGGGCTAATACTATTTGAATACTAACTTGATGATAAATTGAAATTTAGATGAGGTCAAATGCAGACATTTTTTAAAGGTTAACTGAGGGTAGACCTGCTGTGTACTATTGCCTGATTGTGGATAGACCTATAGTTTTATTGTTGTGGATAGACCCCCTGTGTTATCACCCAATAGTAGATAGACCCCCTGAGTGAATATTTTTTAACTATTACTCTTTTACTCTCAGGAAGTTATAATTGTCAAAAATACAAGTTTCTCTTTCTATGAGGGTAAATGAGTCGAAAAAATTCACTCGGGGAATCATGATCTGCAAGAACAGAACTACATTGTGTCTGTCCGCAATTGGGCGATAGTGCATGGCTCTATCTGCAATAACAAACAATGAAGCGGTATACGAATTCAATTTTAGCCACCTTTTGCATCAAAATATTTCCTTTCTTATAACTTCAAAAGAATTTACACGCAATTGACAATGATTTTTTTCTGTTCATTTCTAGATGGCTTATCTCGCTACTGCAGAAATCTGTGATGCAAATGCCAACCTTCTATCCAAGGGAGAGCTCCGAGTCCTTCAGCCAATCTTCCAACCCTATGGCCAATGCCGAGCCTTCTCAGGCCCAATAGTCACCCTCAAGGTCTTCGAAGACAATGTCTTAGTCAGAGAACTTCTTGAAACTCCCGGTGAAGGAAAAGTCCTAGTCATCGATGGTGGAGGGAGCATGAGATGTGCTTTAGTCGGGGGCAACATAGGACAACTAGCCCAAAATATGGGATGGGCAGGACTTTTGGTAAATGGGTGCATTAGAGATGTCGATGAGATTAATGCTTGTGATATTGGTGTCAGAGCTTTGGGATCTCATCCGCTGAAATCGAATAAAAAGGGTGTTGGAGAGAAGAGTGTTCCAGTTAATGTTGGGGGTACGGTTATTCAAGATGGGGAATGGTTGTATGCTGATAGTGATGGTATTTTGATATCAAAGATGGAGTTGAGTGTGTGAATCTTTCCCTGTGGATTTAGGGAATATGTGGTTTTATGCCTCGAATAAGAATTGTTTATTCATCTTGTTGTGACAATAATCGTCATATACTTCATGGTATCAGTTCCATTCCTGCACTTTCAAACTTACAAACAAGAAGAATATAGATAAAAGCACTGAATTGTAGATCTCTCTGTTGGTACATTGTTTACATTTTCAGTTTATTATTATTATTATTATTATTATAATCGTTGTTGTTTTGGTGGTGGAGGTGTTGTTAAGATACTTGTTTTCGAGATGAGATTACATAACTGATATATTTGTTTCCGGAGATGAGCTGGATACATGATAATACGTTTCTGTTATTGGCTTGTCACACTTTTGCTGCATATTCCTTTCGTTACTTTCAAACTTAACAAGAAAAACCCAGGACAAAGAGATGAATTATAGCTCTCTGTGGGTATGACTTTCATATATTTCAAGTTAGTTGCTTGCGGTTGGATTGAATGGCAAAACAGGAGAAATGCTACAACAAGCCTACTTGATTTCTTCCTTTATCATGAATTGATCATGAATATGCTTAGTTGATCATCTATAGAACAGTACTGTATGAGCAAACGATTTTCGGTCGAGCCTACTAGGCAATCAACTAGAACTTGTTCGACATGGTATGCCAATCTTTATTGCATGGAAGATATTTTCAAACATGAGAATGCATGATCACTTGTTTGTTTTCAGAGATGAGAAAACTATTTTCCGTTTCACTGCATATGCCCTATAGGTGGCGAAAACTATCAATGGACATCATTGACTGGTCAAAGGATTTTGCTCCTCTTCAATCTTCGACTCTTGAGTGAACTCCACTAGATGGCTTCCCTAACAAATGAATCTGTCGAACTTAGCTTCCGACGGATGAAACAGAGAAAGGTGATACAGAAGAAAGGGGCATCTTTAAAGGCAAAAACAAACCTTCGGAACTTACGCAGATTTGCCCTAGTTGATATTAACAAATAGTTGCAATACAAAGCTCTTTCGTACAGTACTCTCAACATTTTCAGTTTCTGATAATAAAATGAAATAACAGATCAAAAACCCATCATAGTTGCTTCACAAAGCACAATAATAGTCGCAATTTCTTTATTTACGATGGTGCGCCCAGATAAGATGCTAGCCTCAAAATATCACTGAAAACTCCACCAGCAGTGACCTCAGCACCTGCACCAGGTCCGCGAACAATCAACGGCTGATCCTTGTATCTCATGGTGGTAAATGATATGATGTTATCGGATCCGGATAGCTGCGCAAATGGGTGATCTTTACTGTATCTTCTCAGCTCTACTATGCCTTTTTCATTGGCAATGTCTACTACGCCGACATATCTCAACACCTTAAGAAGAAAGAATTAAAAAAAAGGAAAAGAAAAATAGTTGTTATACATCTAGTAACACACTGTACTTATGGAGCATAAAGTACCAGAGGTAATGCCTAAAAGAACTCGGTTGGAAGCAATTAAGTAGCAATTGGTAATAGTTAACATAGCTGACCACAAAAAAATTGGGGTTAAAGACTTCGTTGTTGTTTGTTAAATTTCCGTCTGATAAACAAGAAGCTATATTGAGGTGGTTCAGCTTGATGTTCATTTAGAATTGAAAGAGAGAAAATTGAATATGCAATATCTTCGGGGAAACAATCTACTGGGTTGGGATCATTCTAAAGTTTTCTGAACCATCTGATAGATGATACACCTATACATCATAACATACATGTCTTAAACATCAAGAAACTAAGAACGGCCCATAATTCTAGACTAGATGATTTCTGATATGATGAACGCTATCCAATGTCAGACGAAACCCAGAACAATAGCTTATAACATTCACCATGGGTTAAAACATCTTGAAACATCTACAACCTCGAAATTGGAAAGTGCTACAAAATTAACATTTTCTAAAGCTAATTCATGTGTATGGAACAGGAATAACCATTAGAAACATATCATTTATATCCAATAGAAGTTTAAATGATCAGTTTATGAATCATGGTGACTGGCATTTACTGAAAAGTCATGAAAACTAATGATTGTTTCTTATATTAAAAGCAGAGTACTCTTCTAGGAATAATGGATATATAGAGTAATAAGAAACTCACTTCACCCGCAGCCTCTGCATCATCTCGTTGTTTTGACAAATCTCCATCAAAATTTGGAAGTTCATTCATGAATTCTGCGGCTGATGAACTAGCCTGAAATACAACACAAGCATTATCACTCTTACAACTGCCTGACAACAAAATATATGCTAGTCTTACCCGCAATGGCTCTGGCACAAGATTTGCAATCTGGATATCAGAAAGCTCTAGCTTCAGACCTGACTCCCTCGCCAGGATAATAACCTAAAGTTGTAATAATAAAATAATTTTCATGATCAAGAATATAATATTAAAAACAATCTGATGTTCACAGTCAATATCCATCAAGATAATTTACATTTATGCACTTCTCAGTTATCAAAACATTCTGAACGATCCCAAGTGACAGTCCATACCACACCAGAAAACATATATGCATAAGGAACTATATTTTACGTAAACTTCTTAGTGTACTTCATAGCAGCGCATTTCCTCTATTGCTGGAAAGGAGTAATTTTGCAATAGCCACTCAATGTAACTTTTGGAACAAGTAACTTGTTTATGTTAGCTTATAACATGCCAATTATGATAAATGATCTGATTCATGAATTGGGGCGGCTGCTTGTGTGGTCAAACAAGCAGGAATAACTATATTGGATATGCACTGGGACCAGTATAAATAAAGCCCACTAACATGAGGATAGAGGTACATTGAAAAGCCTCTTATTCCTGAAAAATGTGATAAAATCCAACAAGCGGTGTTTTACAGGCTGATCAAAATTGTAGGTGAAGGTAATATTGAATTTCCTATTTTGTGGATGAAAGTTAAAAAGTGTCCTTACTTTCCGAGCAACATCAGTTCCAGATAGATCATCTCTTGGGTCAGGTTCAGTATATCCAGCAGCTTTTGCTTCAGCAACGACCTCACTAAAAGTTCGAGTTCCTTTGAAGTTGTTGAAAATATAACTCAGGGTTCCACTGTACCCACAAATACCAGTAACCAAAGGAAGATAAGAGCACAGTGACCAATTCACAAGTTCAATCATGTACTTGTTATTCTTTACATAGAGAAGTAAATTTTGCTCGATTTTATGTAAGCTAAGATAGAGGGACTGACAAAACTGACCTGAAAATTCCCTCAATAGACAAAATCTTATCACCAGTTTCAAGCAGCCCCTGCAAAGTGCCTATTATCGGGAGACCAGCACCGACAGTTGCTTCATAGAAATAATGAGTATAGGACTTCCTCTGTAATGTCCTCAACTTCAGATACTGCACATGATGAAAAAGGCCATTTGAGACGGCAAGAAAATGGATAGATGGAAGAAAACTTATGTCCAGTGAATCATGTGCACATAGACAGTATTGTATCTATATTGCACGAAGGTCAATAATGTATCTTGTATGAAATAATAGATAATATTTAAAGAGGATTAGATCTGCAGTCAGGCCAATATATTGAACTACTCTCACAATACCTGTCTTAGGCCCACCTAGGAAGCATATGATCAGGAGTAAGTGATGAAACATACAAGTTCATCTGATAAGAGGGGTTTAACCTGTATTCAGCCCACACAGATGATAACAACAATATCAATACTATAGCCTCAATGGCAGAATACAACATTATCAGTGGAATAAGCCCCAATCAGGAACTTGAAATGATATAATGCTCTGGTACCACCTTTATCACGGGAAGAAGGGTAAAAAAATTAAGCACTTTTCATCTGATAAGAGGGGTTTAACCTGTATTCAGCCCACACAGATGATAACAACAGTATCAATACTATAGCCTCAATGGAAGAATACAACATTATCAGTGGAATAAGCCCCAATCAGCAACTTGAAATGATATAATGCTCTGGTACCACCTTTATCACGGGAAGAAAGCACTTTACTATAAGAAAGACCTAAAGCCAAACTACAATGTTACACACATATTGCAATTGATATTTCATACTACTGCTGAATATATATAGTAGAAAATGATCCATAGTGATACCGACCCGATAAAGAAATTTTCTTAACTTGTAAGTTTCGCTTCACCTCTATAAGCTAAAATGAAAATAGTTATTACATTTTGGATCCCACAATCTTAAGATCTAGATCAGGTGCGAAATTTGTTCAATATAACTACAACATTGCTACCTCCGCAAGTGGCCTACTGGTTGGGGCTTGGGGCCTTGGCTCAAAAGGCCAAGGGTCAATTTGTGTCTATAACATGCCAATCCCCAATTTCATATTATTAGGCATTCACTTGTACTATTCACCTACGCTTGGGCTGCGAAATGGGGGCTACGGACACCGGGATTTACTTGGCTCATACTAGGCCAAGGTTCCTCGCACGATAAAAATAAAAATAAAAAATAAAATATAATAATAATAATACAACATTGCTCTCTGCCTGGTGCAGTTTACAATAACAGCCACCATAATATCAATGATTTTAAGGAGGACTATAATTTAAAAGTTAACAAATTTAGACTCATTAACAGTGCCAATGAATAAAAAATACGGTTGATCATAATAAATACAAGAACTGACCAGACTGAAAGACTACTGACAAGGAACTTCGGACAGAGATGAAAGGTAATGTTAAATGTAAAGCATCTACCAACTCTTACCATTGCAAAAATGTTCTTATTGGGTATTGGCTAAAAAACACATCTGAAAGATAAAGATATGATTACGGAACTAACACAACATAAAAAGCATGATACTAAAGAGGATATATATACACACACACACACACACACACACACACACATACTTGGACTGTTTTGTCATGTAAATTATACAACCATGGTGACTAAACATCTCAACCTAATGTCATCTGTACTTACTTGATTTGATTTAGTCAGAGAATCTTAAGAGAGATATTTAATTAAACAGCCATATTTATATTCCCACTAAAAACTTGGCCTTTCTAAGGTTCTATAGTAGTCCACCTCTTGAAGGATATCGCGTTGGCCGAAAATATGGCAGCAATTCATCAACTTATAACATTTGCAATCCAAACAAAATTATAGAACTTTAAGAAATTTCATAAATTGTAAGCCATCATTACATTTTCATAAAGATACAGTAACCATGCTGCTTAAACTTTAACCCTTGAGAGAAAATAGCTACGATTATAATGCAAGGTAATGAAACAAATAGAGAAATACTAACAAAATATATAAAACATAATGTACAAGAGTAATGTCCAGAAGAATAATGCAGAAGCAAGTGAAAGTATATATTTACCCGATCAAGTGGTCCGGAGTTTGCCTTTTTGTTCGGAGTAATAACATGAATTCCTTTGCGTAACCAATCATAGTAATGGTTTGCAACGTTTGAATCTGATGTACAATCAACCAGTACTGTATTTGGAAAGAAATGATTTTCATGCACATGTTGAGCAAACTTCTCCAAGTCAGCTGCTTGGGCCTTTTCTTTCTGAAGTTCTCTCCATCTAGTTAAGTCAATTCCTCTAAGAAAAGAAGCAACTGAAAGTTAAATTAGTAGACACCATATACAATAAAAAGCATAACTGTGCTCAGAAGAAAATTTCAACACTTAAATAGAACAGCACATTAACATATCAGAGTAAATAGACATAAGAAGTTACTTCCATGGTTGGTCATGAGCCCCTGAAAGATCATGACCAAAGCAAGAAAGCTTCATTATAGATAGTTATGACTTATGAAAAAAAAAATTCATTTCAACTAAGTAGTGGAAAGGAAGGAAGCGAAATGATTGAAAGTGACTGGGAATTGTGGGGCATCTGACAGTATTTTTTTCCATTTCCATTAGAACACCAATTCAAATGAAATGCATTTCAAATGAACTCAGATTAACCGTTTCTAAAGTTTAGATATTTTCTCTAGCTTGGTAAAACAACCCCTATGTGTAGAACTATAATGATTTGGCACTCTTTGTCCCTGCATGACCATATGACTGAATAAGTTGGATTATAATATTCTGACACTTAAACATTCATCTTTAGCTCATAGAACAACCTTCATGAGAAGAACCACAATGAGTTCAAAAATTAGTTTCTTCCAGCATGACCACGTGACTAGAGAACTTGAACTAAAATATTACAAATTCAAACATTCTCCTGTACTTTTGTAAACAATCGCTATCAGCAGAACCATAATAATTCAATCTATTTCCCTCCCAAGCATGACCATACTCATGATTTCTACCTTCTACCTTCTTACATCAAAGCTATATTACATTATTAATTTTAAAGGTTAATTGTGGATAGAACCCTGTAGTTCTGTAGTTGCAGATAGACCTCTCGAGTGAAAACCATGACTCTTTTACCCTTCGAGAAAAAGAAATTGCTTCCTTCGACAAATAGATATCCTGAGAGTAAAAGAGTCAAAAAAGGTTCACCCAGGGGCTCTATCAGTAGAATAGAACTACAGGGGGTCAATCCCAATTGGACGATAATACAACGGGTCTATCTGCACTTAACCCTTTTTTTTATGTGCAAATCACAAACCATGCATTTGGTGACCGCTTTTCTTGAAAGTTTCAGTTGGAGTTATGAACTAATAATTGACGTCATGTCTACAAATGCTCCATCTCACATGGCTTTTAGCCACTTGAAAAGCCTCCAGGCATACTTGATACTTGCTATGTATTGGAAGATTCAAAAGATTCATTGGCTTTATTGGAAGATATTTATATTATTTGTTGCCTCTATTAAAGGAGTCTAAATTCGATCTATTAGTTAATTATAGTATATCTCTATTTAGGACTTTCCTCTATTGTAAGTTTTCCTTTTCTTATTAGAGTTTTTCTTTTATGAGGATTATACAATATGTTTAAGTACGGAGTATAACCTCTTAATAATCAATGAGAATCAATAAGAATATAGTTACTCTTCCCTCTTTTTGTTTCAACATGGTATCAGAGCAAGTTCTTAAATCCTAGGGATCTTTAATCTTTCTTAGTCTTTGTGCCACTGAGGGGTCTTTCTGCCACCATCATTTCCCCTCAGCTCAAGATTTTAGATATCGATTATCAGGGATTTATCTGTAAAACCTCATGAATGTGAAAATATGGTGATAAATAATAATAAATGTGTTATATGGTGATAAATAACATTTATTGATGTTTGAGTATGCTAGAAATTAATTTGAGATCAATTCAATGTATATATGTGAATATAGGAGTGAAATCATGCACTATATACACGAGACTGAAATTTGGAAAAACGAACAGTTAAGAGTATACGTGTTTTACACACCGATGCAGTTCGAATCTAGAAAAACTCAAAAAATAAAAGTTGTAGTTCTCTTCAACAGCTTTCCAATAAATCTTAAATTACCTCATTCCGAGGTCGGATGAGAAAGTTACAGTCAAAATACTAAAGGTGGTTTTCCCAGTCAGACTAGGTTTCCCGGTTCGGGTCAAACGGGTTTGTTTCGAGTTTGCCTCTATAAATACATGTGTTTTTCACAAAAATTCTTCTCTTTGATGATATCTCGGAACCCTAACAGTCACCCTCTCCCCTCAAAAACCCTAGATCAATTTCTTATGAGTTTTGTGAGCTTTGTGAAGTAAAATACCGACACAAAGACGAGCATCGACGTGTGGCAAGGGAGAACGAATTGTTTGCAGTTGTGGATTGTTTGCTGTTTGTTTCAGAGGCTTGCACACGAGATTAAGGAAAGATCATCTTCATCCAAACCTGCACCCTTATTTAATAAATGATTTAAGATGTTTAAATCAATATTTAAATCAATGTTTTACATGTTTAGGCTTAAACCGATGTGAAAAAGATGAGATTTTTGATGATTAATCTTAAACTAATGTTAGATCTATATGGTTTTCTTGCTGTTATGTTAGTGGCATGATCATAATCATTAGGGTTGCTTGTATTTTCATTTTTTAGCTTATTAATCATGCTTTAATCATGTTCTAATCATGCTTAAACCCTAGAGTTATAATTAATTGAGTTATCATGGTAATTATAGGTGTTTAAACCCTAGATTTATGATACTTAAGTATGAACGTATTTAAATCAACTTATATCTGTTTTATGAGTTTTTACAAACATGTTTATGCTAATCATGTTAATAACTAGGGTTTAAGTGAGAATTTTTGATTAATTAGGATGTTAATCCTAATTAGATTAAATCAAAAGTTTGATTTTTGTTGAGATGATTTTCTGTTACTTAATGTTCATGTTTTTAATCTTGTTATATGTATCATGATGATATAAATACTTTTTAAATAAAGTTACAATTTATGCAAACCCGAAAACCCAAAAACCAGATCCTGCTCTGGCCGGTCGACCGTTAAAGTCCTGTGCGTGCACGATATGCACAATGCTCTGTTCGGTCGACCGACGTCTTTGGGGCGGTCGACCGACCTAGGTCATTTTTGACATGTAGTTTGGTTGATTTTCTTGCTATTTTGGTTGCGTTTGCAGGGTTTGAGCCGCACTACTTTGCACGTACAGTCATGAATACACACGTACAGTGTCGTAGTACACACACGGTTATCCTGAAAATGATTAATATGGATATAGTGGCGATTACATCTGAGATACGAGTTTTGAGTTCACACACCGAGACACGTGCGCGAATGTTTGAATACACATTTTGATTGAGTTTACATGCATAGTTGAGATGCATAACACATGTTTGAGTCGATAGTTGTTGGTATAACACATGATCATGCATAATTTATCAGTTGTGGATGTACGGTGTGGATGTTTCCCCGCAATGAGACCGCGACTGTACCACACTAGGAGTATTTGGACGTTTTTCCGTAATGAGACCTCGGCGGTACCAATACTCGAAGATGATCAGGGTGTTTTCGGATTGGGCTGATACGCCTACATTCCGTTGTACGATCATCTGGATGCATCATCCGGAATAGGGGAGATAAAACTTATTGTCGCAGAACGATTGAGTTAAGACGTTGAATCTACATGATATTGTGAGAACCTTACAAGAATATCGTTATTTGATAAAGGTATATATATACACAATTGTAGTTTGCTCCCATGCTAGTTACCCAAGAGTAGAGTATGATTTTGAGGTTTGACAGATATGGTCTGTTTTATGGGAATGATTATGCTGGATGATACTCCTTATGTTTGTGCCAACTACCCGAGGGTAGTCTGAGTTTTGACATAGCTCACCATGTGTGAGGGTTGGAGATTGTAGTTTTATTTTAATGTATTGTTTCTCTTTACTTCTTAGTTGGGATTAATGATTAGCGATTTACAATTTGAGATATATGGTATATACATGAGGATTTTCTTATTTGGATTATTTCGCTCGACGTACCAGTCTCGTGTTGTGGATTTCTAATTATTGATTTCCTTTAGATTGTTTATTTTTTAGTTCGGTGTTAATATTTAGGTATCTACAATTTGAGACATATGGTATATACATAAGAGTTTTCTTATTTGGATTATTTCGCTCGACGTACTACGTCTCGCTTTGTAAAAGTCTAAATATTAATTCTGTTAAATACGAAAAATAATGATCTAGGTAGACTATGCTTAATAGGTAGAGACTCCACTTCATCCAGCAGCCCTTTCCCTGGGGATGGATGGAGGTGATCTTGCTGTAGCATTCTGACGTTCGTATAATTTCTCTTTTTATTTTAAATTTTTTTCAGGCAGCTCAGAGTTTCAAAGAGCCGCAAGATGATGAAGTTCTAGCATAGTCGCCGCGCCGTCACATGATTTTAGCATTAGAGGCTCCACTGTAGTTTTGTATTTTTATTCAGACATTAGAGTTTGTATTTCATTTTTATAAAGGCCTAGTGCTTTAGTGATACTTTATTTGACTAGATGTATTGAGACATATTTCACTTGTTCCCGTTTTAGTTATACTTTATTTTGTTCATTTGAGACATGATATTATTATTTGGCTATCTCCTCTGTATTCATCATGTTCATTGCACTATTATCATATTCTTTTGCCTGTTTTGTACGTACATTTTTTTTATTTCACTAGAGGATATTACTGTGATTGATGAAACGTGTTAATGCATTGTGTGTGTGCATAGCAGGTTTGACATCCTTGGATTCACCTTGGGTGTGAAGCCAGGGGCGTCACATTATCTGACGATCAATATGAAGGATAAGTAGTATTTATCGGAGTGATATTACCAGATAGTGTATATATATAATATAATATCTTAAAATGTAATCTAACCATACTTAATAAAATATAAGCATACCAAAACGTAAATAATCATGTTTAAGATCACTAACTAGTGGTAGAAACTTACTTCTTTATCGCACGATGAAACCATTTGAGTGCATAGTTAGTAAAAATGGAATGACATACAAGCAAATAACAAGATAACATAAAGAATAAAGAATCATCGAACATAATTATTGTGTAATCATGAGATTATAAACTAACTAATTTGAGATTTAATAGTTATGAACCATGTCAGTATTCATAAACAAATATAAGCTAATCACCAAACAACCAAGTTTCAAAAGCA